GGTGCAATTTTTCTTGCAACTTGCAATGCAATTCTACTCTTAAGAAATGTTAATTAGTGAAATCAATGAAGAATTTTCGATATGTTCAGAAAACATCAGCGGAGTGTAATGAAGACTCGTACTTGGCAATTTTACATCTCTCAAGAGTAGAACTGATTGCATTGCAAGTTGCAAGAAAAATTGCACCGTGTAACATGGCCTTTAGACAAAGAGGTGTAATTATCATTGCAAGTACGTGAAGAACAAACCTAACTTTACTTATTCTGGATAGTTCCATCACTTCTAAACTGTTCTTCCCCAAAGGTTTAGTAAAGGTCATTCCCACTTTCAAAAGGGCCACTTATTTTTACATCAAATTAAAGATTAAATACAATTTCGTTCCTGTAGCGTATTTACAAATGCCATCAATGAACATGTTTAAATTATTTATTATCTATTCTCACCTTGGGCGGCACTACAGCGAACGCCGGCGTTTTCCACGTGACTACAATCATGATTTCCCATTCCCCTATGCCTGCAGGAGATTAACGATTCCTCGTGACCTGTACAATTCACATCGTCAAGCCAAAACTGCCCAGTCCCCCGTCCAAAATAACTTTTCTTGTAGGCAGTTTCAGCATCTTGAAGACCTAGCTGTCTGCAGACAACACGAGCATCGTTTAAGTCCCAATCATCATCGCAAACTGTTCCCCATCTACCCTGATAGTAAACCTCTACCCGTCCTTCATTTCGAGAACGGCCATTGACAAGTCGTATGCCTACAATGTTTTTTAAAAAGTTAATAATTAAAGTGTGTGGCAGTTTACAACACATAAATACGCAACGCAATTTAAGTCAATGACGAAGCTTGTCTGGAATGGAGTGTTAAAGTGATGTAGTTATATAGAGCAAACTTTCACAACTCCCGGATGAATATGGCAATGTAGCGTAGTATTTTCTTCTGACAGAGAGTCATTTGTTCTGCGATTCTAGTCGGCTCAGAAGCGCTAAGCTATGATAGTCTACGTCCCAAGGGTGAGCGCTTTAGAAGTTAGAAGAGAGACGCGAGTATTCGTTGTTTCCTTCGCCGTCCAATACCTTACAGATAAATTTCCTTGGTTGCAGCATATTTACAATTTGTCAAATGCCATTATGTAATAGCTACAGTGAAACACGCAATTTGATTGGTCAATAGCTATCCTGCGCAAGGAATTAAAATGGCTTCGCGGGATTCTCAAAATGCCATTGTTTCACTGCAGTTCTTTCATGCACTTGGGATGTTGCTCGACTTTTGGAAAGCATAAAAATACACTCGCATGCGGCTCGAGTATTTTTACGCTTTCCGAAAGTCTCACGACATCCCTCGTGCATGGATCACGCAATCCTGCACTGAAAACCATTTGGTACTCCTTTATTCATGAACGGATGTTTAGATTTTTATCATTAATTCAGTCTCACCTCGACGGCCTCTACAGCGAACCCCTACGTCTTGACTGTGACGACAGTCGTGAATTCCCACTCCCCCATGTATGCACGAAAATAGCGATGACTCACGCCCTGTACAACCAACATTGTCAAGCCAAACCTGTCCACTTCCCTGACCAAAATAACTTGATGTGTAAGCATGCTTAGCATCGTCAAAACCAAGCTGACTGCAGACAACACGAGCATCGTTTATATCCCAACCATCATTACAAACTGTCCCCCAAGTACCGTTATAGTAAACCTCCACCCGTCCCTCATTGCGAGAACCGCCCACAAGTCGCACGTCTGAAATGACAACAATTTTAATAATTAAAGCCGTTACCAACACCAATAGATGATTTCAGTTACAGACCAAATTTTGATCTAGGTAAGAAGAACAAAATCCATCACTACAGCTATAAAGAGCATGTTGAAATCAGTAAAATTGGAAAGTTTGGTTGCGAAATGTTGTAAAATGCGGAAAATGTAACTTTGCGAAGTTTGCGGTGCGAGGGTACTAATCCCCCCCCCCCCGGCTATTTACACCCGGAGAAACGAAGGCATTAGCGGAGTCTAAAGTTCATCAATTATCGCGGGCGTGGGTGACCAACAGTGTTGGGTGGGTGGCAGTGAAGGTGGGTGGTCCAATTTGAAGTTTGCATTATAACGACTGCATGACGACAGCGAAATAGCAAACATTTCTTGATTTGATTATTGATAAATTTCTTGCAAATATATTTCATTTTTGCTCGCATTTTTGCTCGCATTTTTGCAAGATTTTGTAAATTTCAAAAGCTCTCTTGGAAAGAAACTGCGAAAGAATCGGCTAAAGAAAGGGCGCCGACCTTAACGAAGGTAAGTTTGTTCTAAAAATTGCCCTTTTACAATGGATTTAAAACCCGACGGCCTTTTGCATATATGAAACAATATTTTCCCTTGCGTATCACATAAATTAATAGGGAGTTTAACTTCGAAAAATAGCCATGCATTGCAGTTTTAAAACAGCAAGTTCATTTATCCTTTATTGTCTGATACCGTAAAATTTTTCTTTGCCTGGCGTTTCCGTATAACTCTATTTTCCGCATTTTACAACATTTCGCAACCAAACTTTGCAATTTTGCTACTTTTAACATGCTCTTTCTAGCTGTGGCGATGGATTCTTACCTATAGATCAAAATTTAGTCTACGACCTAGACGACTTGTCGGTCTAAATCAACATATTAAATTCTCGTCATTTAATTGGCTGAATAGAGTCACGTGATTACCTGGACAAATTGAGCGGCTTTCATCGCTGTCATCTCCACAGTCGTTATTTTTGTCGCAAACTCTACTCATGTTGACACATCTGCCATTTCTGCACTGGAACTCCCCGGATAAACAATCAAAAGATGTTGTCGGCGCTGCGCGTGTGGTCCACGTTGGCGTTGGACGTTCTATGAAAGAAACATGGTTGTAAGATTTTAGAAACAATAATCAAAGATATCAGGATTTTTAGGTCCAGACACACATGACGCGATTCGAAAACGCGACGCGAATTTTTAGTTTTGAAAGTTAATAAAACAGCCAACGAGAGCAAAATTTTGAAAGATATGTAGACCCAATAACTCAAAATGTTATAGCGCTTCTAAATATTTGAAAAACTTAAACTAGAATCACAGTTATCGGTCAGTGAAAATCGAAAAATCGCGTCGCGTTGTCGAATCGCGTCCGGTTTGTCTGGACCTCGTCGAACCTCTACTTGCGCTAGATCATACTTGGTTCGATCAAAAGGGTGTGGAATGTTCTGCCAAAGGAAATACGAAGGAACACAACGTCTCTGTCTTCCTTCAAGCATTTGTTGAAGGAATATTACCAGAGTGCTTTAAAATCAACTTATGACTCTGAAGATGCAAGGACATGGAAGTCAATTTGTGTTAAGTGTGGCTCTGCCCGCAGTCTTCTGTCTCTTCCTATATGTGCTGTTTTTAATGTCTGTATGTCTTTATAAAAATGTACGTTTACGCGCTGTGATTTTTCGTGTGCGGTTTGTATTTTGGCGTATTAAAATGAGTGCTGGTGCCATACATACGCCAGAGGGTGAATCGTACGCGGTGGATCGCGGTGTGTAAACGTAGCTTTAATGTTGTTAATGTCTGTATATGTTTGTATGTTTTGTTGGTAATTGTAATCGTTATTTATTGTTAGTTGATATTGAACTTGATGTATCATAATGGATCCGCAGTAAATGGCCGTAGCTGTTGCGGTTTCCAAGCCTGCATGTTGAGGCAAAGTGTAATAAATTATTAGTATAAAAAATATAAACGCATCTCGCTCGATAAGATCAAAATTTCTGGACGAATTTTTATCCATTTACTAGACTTGCTGCGAAAAAAGCAACTGTCGGAGAAGGCTGCGGCTCAGTGACTCTGCCCATCCGATTGGTTAGAGCGCTGCATCTTTCGCAACTGTTCCTGATCAAATCTAACTGTAGCCTGTGCACATCGCTAGTCTAACTGATAAATGTATAAAATTCGAGATTTCGTTTTAATTTGTGCCCACCGCGTTCCTCTTTCCCATATAATCAGCGGAAGTTCCCTACTCTTTCCTTTACAACTTCATCTTAGGAACACATAATAGACTAATAGTTGGAAACAAGTACACAAATAATAGTTAATGTCGCATGTCGGAAACCTCTGCGGAGGAGAGAGACATTATCTACTGATAATTTCACTTCAGCCGAAACAGTACTTGATCTGTTCTCACCTCGGGAGCCACTGCAGCGAACACCAGCGTCCCTATTGTGATCGCCAGTACAATCATGATTTCCCCATCCGTCGTTTCTGCAGAAAAATAGCGATGACTCACGACCTCCACATCTAACATTGCCAAGCCAAATCTGTCCAGTTCCACCACCAAAATAACTATACTTGTAACCAGACTCGGCACCTTGGAAACCAAGCTGTCTGCAGACAACATCAGCATCGTATATATCCCAGGAATAATGACAAACTGTTCCCCATTTACCCTCATAGTAAACCTCTACCCGTCCCTCACTGTGATTGGATCCACCCACAAGTCGTATGTCTAAAATTTAAAAAATCTTAACGCGTCACAGAATTTAAAGACCATGTGGATTTGTTTACATTTTGAACTGCTATATTTGTAAAATAAGACATACTGAATATCTAACACTTTTCTGGTTCCCAATTGTAAATGAATATAAACTAGAATACGTTTGAATTCAAAAAAGTGTGGAATGTTTATATCTGTGCGTTCCCATTTATTTTGAGCAGAACCAGGCAGAATGTATGCGCAGAACGTAGACTTGACATGGTCTTTATAAAAAAACAATTTCAAGTCACTGACAAAGGTTGTCTGGAATTGAGGGTTAAAAATTATCACAAAAAATGAACAAAACCAAGTTAAGTAATTACTATACAAAGTTTCACCACTTTGGGATAAATATAGCATGGTCTAGACTTCTCGCATGAGCATAATATAGCATGAGACTTCTGAGAATTCTCGCGACATTACCTGAACAAATTGACA